GCGGGGGTGGGTGGGGTGGGGTAGGGGTGACAGGGCAGGAGGACAGCGCCCGCCGCGCCACCACTCCCCGTGCGCTTCTGAGCCTGGGGATCTGCTCCTCTCCCCACCTCGCGTGGGAAAGGGGCCTCACACGCGATCAGGGTTACAAAATACTATCATATAATTAGTAATGACAACATGAGCTGCTGGGGAAGACTTTTTCGTTGGGGGCTAAGGGTGCGCGTCCCAACGCGGACTGCCTGGGTGAACTTAAACAAGTTACTTACCCTGTCTGTGCCTCAGTTTCCTTTCATTATAATAATACTTAGCCTTCTAAGGTTGTTGTGAAAACTAAATGAGTTAATATTGGCAAAGCACTTAGAATAAGGCGTTGTACTTAAGCACTAGATAAGTGCTAAATAATAAAAATATGTGTTAGCTAGCATAAATACTACCATTTATCGAGTTCTAAGCGATCTGTTTTACACCAGTAACCTACCTCACTTAATCTTTCCAAAATGCCAGTGAGGCCAGAATTGCAATTATCCTCACTTACAGATGTGGAAACTGAGTCTTTAGCATCAGACCTGTAGGGTGAAACTCAAGGCTCCCAAGGGAGAAGAAGTGTGGAGAGTTTGCTGAGCCCCCACCCCACTCTATTCCAGCCTTTGCTGAGATGAGTTTCTGGAGGAGGGGAAGGCAGGGAGGTCTCAGCCATTACCCAGTGGTCATCAAATTTGCCGGTGACGACGGCTGGAGCCAGGGAGCGGGCAGGATTCATAGAGCAGCCGGTGTAGTGGATCTACAATGGAAGATAGGGGTCAGAGAGTGAAGGGAGGTGATGACTGGGCAGGGAGTTTTTGTACCCTTCTCCAGTGCTTGATCTCAACCTAGAGGGAGTCTATGCCACAGACAAATTAAGTTCATGTTATATTCACAAGGCTCTGTATTCATTTGAGGCTGGAGTGGTATGTGTCCCTTTGGGGTATCTGGCAGTCAAACCCTCTGGGGTATGTCTGTCCCTCTTGGGAGTTCTGTATATCTGTCCTTCTGGGGCATCTTTGTGTCTATAACTTTTGAGGGTTCTGTAGCAGTTTCTAGAGTGGTCTGTGTATGTCAGCTTCTTTGGGGGAAAGTCTGTGTGTCTGCCCCTCCAGGGAGGCTGGAACCAGTAGCCACAACCTACCCCAAGGAGGTGGCCCAGGGTCACAGAGAAGCCAATGGAGAGGGCGGGGGTGCCCAGGCTGTCTCCACGGCGCTCGTCGGTGGAGGCGAAGATGCAGAGCACCAGCTGCAAGGTCAGGAATAGCTCCACGGTGACGGCCTGGCCAACTGTCGTGTTGTTGTGGAGCTGGGGACAGACAGGGAGGGTGGGAAAACAGTGAGCATCTTCCTACATTGGCTCCATCTTTCTGCCCACCTGCAGTCAAGGCTCCAGAGAGGCTTCCAGGCTCCAGAGAGGCTTCCAGGCTGGGAGCCAGAACACCTTAGCCCAAATTACCTACAGCTTCTTCTTGGGCTGTGACCCAAAGGCAGAGGGATAGACCCCAAGACTGCCTATGGTCCCCCAGCCAGAGATAGGAAAACTGACTCTACAGACCTTTAGATTTAGGGGCTACAGTGCAAGAAGAAAAAGATGCTGAGTCCAGAATTCATTTCCTGAAGAACAAGAAAGGGAGAGATTTTGAATATAGTAGGAAACTTTAGGTTAGCTAATAGAAAGACTTTCCTCTCTTCCTGGGCCATAAGATACTTGTGTAACAAGAGGCCTGTTGTCTTTCTTCTCAATGGTCAAAGGGCTCCCATGGACAGGGTCTAGGGACTTGTATCTGGGGATGGTTCTAGTGTGTCCCCTTACCCCACAAATCTAACATTTGACTCTTTCCTCTTACCTTGCCTGTTTCCCACTGCATTACAGGCCTCAATTTTGCCCTGTGGGTTTGCTCCTTGTATTTCCTGTGGAGGCTGGGCTGGGGGTGCTGGAGCCCTATACTGCAATGCCTCCACACCCATGCAGGTGCCTGGGGTTCCAGCAGACCCTGCCTTGGGTGATGAGAGAACTTAAGGCCAAGTAAAGAGGCAATTTCATAACTTGACCGCACCCAGTACTGGATTTCTCTTTGGGTTTTGTCATCCTGTGCCCTACACCCTTCCCTCTGGGGCTGGGCACTGCACTGGGAGGAGCTGTGACAGCTCTCACCACCCATGTTCCTTCTTTAGGCCCTGAACCCCTACCCCTGGGTCCTAGCCATTGGGCTATCACCACTGAGACTCTCTAGGGTCTAACTTCAATTCCCTGTGATCCAATGTCAGAGCCTCTAGTTGGGGATAGTGAAAAGAGCTTTAAAGGCAGATACTTTGGAGGCCTCTGATTTACCGAGGGATTCTATTTACTTCAGCCTCAGTTTTTCCTTCTGTAAAATGGGGATAATAAAATTCAGGAGGACTGTTTAAAGACTGAAAATGAGCAAGGCAAAGCCCCAGCCTCATTCCGTCTGGTGAGAGAGACAGTGCGAACACGGGTTTGGTGTCAGACATTCTAGGTCCGTTTTCAGGTGCTGACACGTACTGGTTCTGTGATTTGAGTCATTTGAATGCTGAGCCTCAATTTACCACTCAGGGTAGAGGGATCACAGAATTCACCTTACAGTATTATACCAAGAATGAGATGATGTCTGGTCTGGCACAGAGCAGGTGCACATCAACGAGAACTTCCTGGTGGCCTGGGGACCTCAGAGGACAGCTGAGGCAGCCCCACTGCTTCCTCCTTCCAGCCAGGCAGGGTTCTTCAAGATAGTAGATGCTGAGCAATAACTTGGGGGAACTTTTCCAGACCATTTTATTCTGAGGGCCCCGGTCAACTCTGAAACGATGAAGGAGCAGGAAGGGTATCCCCACATCCCTCTAGCAATCCCACTGTCTCTCTGTTAGAGGAGATTCCCTAGCCACACAATCTGAAACTTTCTTGGCCATGCTCTCAGGAAGTTCCTCTTTCAGTCTATCTGCTCCTCTCTTTGCTGCCAACTGAACTAATTCAACGGAAAGAGTCACACTCTTCAGTTTGTCCACCACCATGGCCACTCTAGTGTCTTCTCAGCCCTGAGCTCCCGGCCTCATCACATTTTCCAATTTGAAGAAGAGAGAAGCTACCCAATTGGGATACTTCTGCCCCTCCTTTGAGGGAGGACCACCCATGCAGAGGAGAAGGTGGCCACAGAGAGTGTGCAGGACTTTTCAGAGGTATCAGAGCTCTTATCCAGTGGCCCAGGGCTAGAGCAGGCCAAGAAATGCAGGAGACTGAGGCATGAAAGAGGCACTTGCTGTCCAGGCTTGGGATGGGGGTCGTGTGGAGTGAGAGTTGTACTGAAGGGGCACAGACCATCCCTCCCAACCCATCCCCTCAGATGCCCAGGCCTTGCACGGACCCAGGAGAAGGGAGGGTGGGCCATAGAGGAGGAAGGACTGCGGCATCTGCCTGATTAGCAGTTAGCTCACAGGCGCCAGGGTCTGGAGAGACCTTACTCCTTTAGCTTTCCTTCGCGTTCTGGTGCTTTCTCTGGCATTGACAAACAATAAAACTTTTGGCCTATACTTCCCTTCCCTGAGCCTCAGTTTCCTTGACGATGGCTCAGGGAAGGGACATTGGTCAAGTGAAAAGATTATGGGTTTTGCAGTCAAGCTTGGGTTTGAAGTCTGGCTCTGGCACTTCCCCTCTCTGAGCCTCAGTTCCCATATCCTTAAGAAAAGATATACCCATCTCAGCTTTGCAAGGTTGTTGCAAAATGTCAATGCGAGGCCCATGAGAAACATTTGCCTTGAGGCTCGCACACAGTAGATGTTGAAGAAATGTTGCACCCTTCTTCCCTGTAGAAGACCCTCAGGACTTACACTCTGAAGTTCCTTTCAGGTAGGAAAGCACATCTGCTTTGGGACCCTGTCTTCTGCTGAGTCCTAGCCCTGACCTTACTCGAATGCAAGCATCAAGTCCGATAGAGACCTTGATGCTGCTCCTCCTCCACGAGGCCCAGGGCAAAAAGCACATATGTCCTGCTTCCTCTCTGCATTGTTGCTTCTTCTACCTTGATTCTCCTATGGCAGCTGTGTTCCTGCCTCCAGCATCTTTACCCACCCTCCTTCCCTCTGTCTCTCCCCACCCAGACCCTCACCCAGATCTGTTCCCTCCCATCTTATCCTCTATAAGGGACTCCCCAGGATCTGCCCTGTGTGGAATGGACTAAGTTCCAGTTACTCACAGCATTGACAGCCAGGTTTCCTTGGACGTTTGGGGGTGTGATCTCATGGAGCAGGGCAGCCCCTGCCACAGCCCCCAGCAGCTGGGCAGCCACGTAGAAGGCAGCTCGAAGAAATGACACATGGCAGCCCACCAGGCAGGCCACAGTCACAGCAGGGTTCATGTGGGCCCCGCTGATGTGTCCCAGAGCCTGCACAAGGGTGCCGATAGCCAAGCCAAAGGCCATGGCAATCTGCAACACAGAGGGCAAGCTCTGTGGCCAGTTGAGGGCTGAGCCTAGGCCGAAGAAGACAAAGATGAGTGTGGCCAGGAACTCTGCAAACACAGCCCTGGAGAAGGCTATGGATCGGAGTTCCCACATGCTGTGGGGCCTTCCGAGGGCTGGCCCGGCTGTCTCGGGGCAGGAGGTTTGTGGCTCTCTCTCTCTCTCTCTCTCGGGATCACCGTGGAGGCTGAGCCATGGGCATTTATAGGGTCCTTTCATCCTGGATTTGAACACGTGGGGTGGAAGTGGAGTTTGGGCCAATCCTCCTCTCCTCTATGGCTGCCCCCTACCTCCACTCCCCACCCCTGCCCACTGCATGCCTATCACTCTATCTTGGACTTCACAGCTGACTAATGTTCCCCATTAATAAGCTACAGATAAGGACTGACGTCCTGTGTTTCCGTGTTTGTTCCCTCGGTTACCCCAAGGTTGCTGCCCCAGGGCGGCCCCCTGCCCCCATGGACTCTGTGAATGGGGATTCTGTAGGAGATTGTGCCAAACCCCTCCTCTCTGACTCAAACTGTTGGCCAGAACAGGGGCAACGCTTCACCCAAAACTGACCATGAGAGTGGATGTCAACGCTACCTCTTCCAGTGATTGGGAAGTCCTTCCTGATGTCTGAACTCCAATTATTCCTTCTTGAATGGGATGGAAAACAACTGGTTGGCTTGTGACATGAACCTTCCAAAGCAGAAAGGTTGTGTGTCCCTTCCATGGTTGCTTTCTTGCAATCAATCACCCGTAAGTCATTAAATATAACCTCCTCCCTGGAACCCCAGCCAAATAGCAGCTCTCATAGCTTGAAGGCAGGGGGTGGTTTCCATGGCTTTGGGTCTCTGGCTCTGGCTGGTGGAGCCAACCTCAGGGGGTCAACCGAAGAAGGTGTAGGTTTTCATTACAGCATCATGCTCATCCATCTTAGTGAGCCCTTTCTTGTCTGTCTCTGTAAAAAGGGGGAAATAAACTTACATTATTGGATTGGGATTTGGATTAAATGAAATAATGTAAATAAGGTGCTCCGAGCAGCGCCTGGCTTATAGTAAGCCATCAATTAATATTAGCTATTATTAATAGGATTATTTATACTCTGAGGAGGAGAACAGGTCTCCTCAAGCCCACATGTTAAGGTTCCAGGATCTGTGACAGGCTCTAGGCAACCCCTGGAGCTCAAAGCCACACAGGTCTCTGGGGAAGATCATTTCTTTGGGGCAGCGAGCTGTGCACGCTCAGGGAGGCTGCAATGTTTGATGGCTCTCCGGCCTTGGTGCTCTCTCAGCCCAGCAATGGGCAACACCACCTCCTGCCATCAACGTTGCTCTGGCCTGGGTTCTAGGAGGTATTTAGGTCCGATTGTCCTCCAGGCCTCATGCCCTGCTCTTCCTTAATCCCTTCAGCCTTACTCCGTCTCCTGGGGATGAAAAAGCAGCCTCAGGCTCAGAGCGTGGTCAGGAGAACTGGCTTCTGGACCTTGCTCTACCTTCTGGCCAGCAGGTCCCCAGGCAAGTCACAATCCCAAGAATGGAAATCTGGGAGAGATTGGAGACTGTAGAGTGGAGCTCCTTCTATTGTATCATGGGGGTGCGGGGACATCGAGGCCCAGGGATGGCAAGTGACTCATCCAAGGTGGTTCCAAAAGTTAGTAGCTGAGCTGGGACTAGAACCTGATCTGGAGCTTTCCACCACACCCTACACTGCCAAGTCACACTCTGAGCCTCAGTTTCCCCATCCAGACAATGGGAGTAATGATGCCCACCCCACAAAATTGTTTTGAGGATGGAGCAAAATAATAAATAGGCAAGTGTGTTGCAATTGAGAATGCATCATCCAGGTATATATTGGGAGTTGTGAATCTGCTAGTGAGGAGGAGGAAGAAGAGAAGGAGGAGGGGAAGAAAGAAGAGACCCAAACAGAATGGAATCTCCAAAAAAGCAGGGATTCTTATGCAGTTTGTTCTCTGATGTATTTCCAGTGCCTAGAACAGTGCCTGATACACAGGTAGAAGCTCAGCTTCTTCTGAATACAGATAACTTCCTTCTCTAGCCCAGCCTCCTGCCAGAGGCTGAGATAAATCCAGATGGACTGAGGACTGGGGCGGACATGAACTCCACATTTCCTACACCCACCTGCCCACTCTGAGTCCAGTACCCAGTAGGTTTCCGATTGCTTCAGGCAAAGCTCCCCCTGGACCTGCCTGCCCCCTCTCCTTTTCCAGGGCACAGCTCTTACCTGGAACGTTGGTTCTCTGCCTGCAGCCATCCCTCCCCAACCTCAGGCGTTCCCAATGCTCTAGGAAAAGATTCAGAGGGAGAGATTGCAATTTAGCCACTTTCTGGTCTGGGCCCATCTGGGAGGAGGCGAGGGCTCCGACCATGACTGGGGCCCTAGTCTTAGCCTTTGAGCCAAGAAAGGAAGAAAGTGTTCCTGTCGGAGCCTCAGGGTTCAAGCTCTGCTTTCTGGTAGGCAGTGGAGCTCCCCAGGGGAGGGCTGCGTTTTGTCTCCAGCGACCACTATGTGGTATCTTTATGAAGTCCAAGTTGTCATTAATTGTATGATGCACTACTAATTAGAGCATGATGAAAATACTTTCTTTAGAGTTGGATGGCAGTGATGGTTGCACAACAATGTGAATATACTTAATACCACGGAACCGTACACTTACAAATGGTTAAGATGGTAAGCTTTGTGTTATGTGTACTTTACCACAATTAAAAATAATTTTTAAAAAATAAGGAAAGGAAAATGACCTGAAAATGTTTTCTTACCAATTTTTATTTTATACTTATTGAAAGAAGTGTTTTAGATTTATTTAGATATCGGTCTTTAAGTCAAAATCACCCTTGTGAATGCATAAAAAAGGAAATTATAGGCAAAATCAATTGGCTAAAATATAGTTGACCCTTGAACAGCATGGGTTTGAACTGTGCGAGTCCACTTACGCATAAATTTTTAAAAAATCAATACTGTAAATGTATTTTCTCTTCTTTATGATTTTTCTTAATATCATTTTCTTTTTCTTCAGTTACTTTATTGTAAGAGTACAGTATATACTATATAAAACATAAAAAATATGTGTTAATTGACTTTCCGTTTTTGGTGAGGCTTCAGGTTAACAGTAGGCTATTAGAAGTTAAGTTTTTGGGGAGTCAAAGTTACACGTGGATTTTCGACTATACAGGGGGTCGACACCCCTAACCCCGCATTGTTCAACAGTCAACAGTAGTCCTAAGATTTCTTCACGTTCAGAGTCCAACTTTCCAAAATTCCTTTCTGATTCAGAGTCCCCAATGTTTTCTTACACAGTATCACCCTCCGTGCCATCGGAAGTGTAGTGACGCACCATTTCTTGCAAGATTGTCCACTGTTTCCAGAATTTCTTTCCAAGCCTCGGATGATCATTCTGTAAACTTTATCGCAGGTGTTTTCTTGCTTCATGTGTGACTGGCAATCATGTTGTCCTTTTCTAAGTAATAAAACATACCACAGTTTTATCTGCTTATGGGGCTCTTCCTTTCTTAGGTTTCATAAAACACTTGGCTGTTGTTTTGCAAGAAAATATGGAATTGTTCTTTAGTGATAACTATTTGCTTCACTAATCTCAAATTCTTGCTGTGCTCCTCTATTTCCTCGCCTTTGTGTTTACACAATAACTCTGTGTTTAACTGATAAACCACAACGTAACCTTTTGAAGACATTTAAACAGCAATTAAACAGCACAGTCGTGGAAATGAGAAGGCACGTTGGAACTCACCCGACCAAGTTTAAGTACGCACAGGTAGTGACAGCCTCTCCCAGCTGCTGTAAGACAGCACAATTGTAAAAGATGCTGAGATGAGAAAAAAAGGGTACACTTTAGGACTGATGAAATATAGCAGTTATAATATTAAACACATATTTAGTGCTCACTCTGTCATGCACTGCTCCAGACGTTCTTACACGTATTAACCCTCTTAATTTTCGCAGCAATCCTGTGAGCTAAATGTTACCAGCCCAGTTTTTAGAGAAGAGGAAAATGAGGCAGAGAGAGGTTAAGTAACTTTCTAGCTAGTAAGCAGAGAGGCAGAATTAGAACCCCAGGAATCTGTCTTTGAGAGGACTTTTTTGATTGTGAAAGTAAATCCCTACCTCACCGCCCCGCCCCCGCCCCCCCAAATAATCAAGATGAGAAAGAAGTGAGAAAGAATGCTAAAGCACTCTGAATAATAAAGAAACAGGGATTCGAGTGACTTGGCTGGTGGCTTGAACGAGGGGGCTGAGCCCCTGGAAAAGCAGAGAGAGGAGGAGGTTGTCTGTGGGGAGCTGGGCCAGTGAGGATGCCCAATGTGGGAGGACAGTGACAGAATTCAGGACCTGAGCTGTCTGACAGCTGATGTGAGGTATGTTGCCTGCTCTGAGCTGAGCTGCAAATGCTTTCCATTCTACCAACAAGGTCGGTAAAAGTGGGTCACACACCACAGCCTGTGAGGCTGGAACATTGAGGAATGAAAGAGAAGGGATAGATCCACGGTCAGGTGAAGTGAGACAGAATGAAGAGAGAAAACCCAGGCAGCGGCTGGCAGGAGAAGTGAGAGGCTGGGGCTCAGGCACCTCAGGAAGCCCAAGAAATATGGTAGGGTACAGGATCCATGCAGTTCTGGGACAGAGTGCAAATACTTATTGATAAGCCATTGGATTTCCATGTAGGGTTGCCAGATAAAATACAGGATGCCCAGGTAAATTTGAAGTAATTCCAAGCAATATATGGGACATACTTATACTGAAAAATTATTTGCTGTGCTCCTCTATTTGAAATTGAAATTTAACTGTGCACCCTGTATTTTTATATGCAATTCTATTCTATGTGAAAGCAAAAGGAAAACCCAGAGGACTGAGAGCCAGGGACATTTGGGTTTCAAACTGAATCTTCGCAAGGACCTTCAGAGACGAATCATCTTAGACCCATTTTACACAGCAGGAAACTGAGGCACAGAAAGGTTATAAAAGTTTCCCAAGACCACAAGGCCGGTAAATAGCAGAGACAAGCTACAGCTACGTAAACAGGTCTGTCTGATCCAGAAATTCAGGTTTTCCCCTCAGTGACAGGCTGACTTCATTCTCTAAACCCAGCTCAAAGGCCAGGCAGTCCTGACACGAGGCCCAGGTGAAAGCAGGGAAGGTTGAGGC